GGTAGAACAGACTGGCCTCGAACTCAGAGATCCACCTGCTTCTGCCTCCCAAGTGCTGGGATTAAAGGTGTGCGCCACCACCCAGCCTTTTGAGCTCTGCTGCTCGTCTGCCTTGTTGATCTCATCTGACAGCAGGATGAAAAGATAAAGGCACCGTGCACACAGCACCAAGCATGCCCGCAGTTCCTCGACGGACTTTGTGCCCTCAGCCAATTCTCAGAGTGCAGTAAGGATGTCATTTTAGCTTAATGTTCTTTTTTTAAAAATATTTATTTATTTACTTATTATGTATACAATATTCTGTCTGCAGACCAGAAGAGGGCACCAGACCTCGTTACAGATGGTTATGAGCCATCATGTGGTTTCCAGGAATTGAACTCAGGACCTTTGGGAGAACAGGCAATGCTCTTAACCGCTGAGCCATCTCTCCAGACCCCTTAGCTTAATGTTCTTGCCCATTTCTAGCATTACACACTAAAATGTGTCCCTCCAAGTCTGCAAGACGGCCTGGCTCCCAGTGCAGCTCTCAATGGGCAAGAACCTCAGGGAGGCAATAACAAACGGATCAAGAAGTCATGAGGGTGGGGCTCTAATTCTGTAAGAACAGGGAGAAATACCAAAAAGCTCTCTTTCTGTGAGAAACAGTAAGAAGGTGGACCACTCTTAGTGGAGTAGAACCTCCCCAGAAGCCAAATTTGACACACGGTGCACCTGGATTTGTAGCCTCTGGAACTGATACAATAAGGACCTAACTGTTTAAGCCGCCAGGTCTGTGTGTTATTGCAGACAAAGCTTGTATTCATGACTTTCCTGTAGCTGCGATAAGAACACCATGACCAAAAGTGGCTACATGGAAGGGTTTATTTTGGCTAACAGTTCCAGAGGGAGAGTTCCCATGGGACAGGGGGTAGGGATGGAGGGAGGGAGAGGTAGCAGAGAGTCAAGAGGTCACATCCTTAGTCAGGCAGTAGTGGCCGCACACCTTTAATCTGCACTCAGGAGACACAGGCAGGCGGATCTCTGTGAGTTCAAGGTCAGCCTGGTCTACAAGAGCTAGTTCCAGGACAGGCTCCAAAGCTACAGAGAAACTCTGTCTCGAAAAACCAAAACAAATAAAAATAAAAGTAAAGAAGAAAAAGTCACATCCCCAGCCACAAACACCCAGCACAGAGGATGATCTCTGTGGAAGGAGGAACTCTCAAGACCTGTCCCCAGTGATACTCTTCTTCCAACAAGATTGGAACAGCTCCCCAGACAGTACTGCCAACTGGGGACCAAGCATTTAAATACTATGCGTGCATTTCTCATCTAAAGCACAACGGTATCTCCCACTTAGACCCCCAAAACCAGAGGTCAGGCAGTTCGTCAGAAACACTGACCCATCCTAACAAATCTCCCGCTTGGTGTTAAGGAGAGGGAAAAAAAGAACCTACAGAAACTCTCTCCCTTCACCACTCCTAATTGTCTTCAAACTGATCAAATTGAAGGGAGGGGAGGAGATGGCTCAGTGGTTAAGTTTGTCCCGCTCTTGCAAGGGATCCTAGTTCAATTCACAGCATCCTTGGCAAGTACCTCCCAACCTCCTGCAACCCCAGCTCTAAAGGGGCCCAGCTCCTCGGACTCCTGTGAGCCCCTGCACTCATGTGCATATAGCTATATACAGAGACACACATACGCATGAGTTTTTACATAGCTTCTCCCTCCCCTGTGTGGGTTATGATAACAATAACTGGGCTGTCTTTTATGGACTCTGGGTGACTTTTGCAGGAAACATGAACTCTTCACCTGGGCTGGCAGGTGTCTACTGGGGTTGGCTGAGAAGGGTTGTCACCTGTCCTCATACTCTGTCTGTCCCTTTGCTGCCCTAAGCTTTGTGCTACAGTCTGCTCAGCTCTTTATGTGGAGGTGTTGATCATTTGGGAAACCCTACCTTGGCATAGACTTGTCTTGTCCTCACCCCCCTCCTTTGTTTTTCTCCCTCCTCTTCTTCCTCCCTACCCCGCAGTCCCATCGAAGCTAAATACACCCACAGCTACTAAGACTCAGGACCAGACCGTGACAAGAGTGAAGAGGTGTCTTACAAGTTCCTGAGTGATCCCTGCCCGTTCCCAAGGAGTGATGAATGGTTACCTCTTTCCTGCCCATGTCTCCCCATTACTTCTACCCTGTATCTGGAGTTCTCCAACGCTGGGAGGGAGACGCTTGTTTGTGAGCAGAATCTGGCCACCAAATAAAGCCTTTTTTTTTTTTTTATCCCCGACATTCATTTCTTTAATGCTGGTTGTCCTAGGCCTGGGTCTTGTGAGTTGAGGTATTTTGTCACTATGGCTTGAGTAGAAAAATACACTGAGGGACCCAAACATGACTTTCCTGGGAAAGCAAGTGGATGTAGCTCTGAGTAAATCTGGTACCCAGAGTCTCTGTTACCTCTAGGATGCCTCAGGATTACCCCCCACTGGAGTGAGTCTCATCTTGTTCCTGCTCTCCTCCCAAATCAGGCTTCACCCTCCTGCGGCCCTCTGTCCTTTTTCCTGCGTGTCTCATGGTTCTTACTATGCCCTTCCTTTGAATCACAATCCCTCTGAACCTTGTGAGGATTGCTTTCTTTTCTTTTTAGAGATAGTGTCTCCCTCTGTTACCCAAGCTGACCTTGAACCTTGAACTCCTAGATACAAGTCATTCTCCTGCCTCAGCTTTCAGAATAACAGGCTACTGGAGCAAGCACCCCCCCCCCAAATCTGGATTCAAAGGGATCCTTGAGAAGATGGTTGCCATGCTCTTCTGTCTTAATGGGCTCCATTTTAGCGTCTTCAGATGTAGCCCACATAATGGTTTGTCTGGAGTAAGGAAGAACCCACTGTCAGGATGGCAGCTGAGTCCCTGCTCTGTTATGCCCTGTTCTGGGGGAAATGCATGCCCTGTAAGAAACAATCCAGAGTTTATTAGCTGGACTGGAATGGCTCTTTTTTTCCGTCCATCTTCCCTGATGCCCTGAGATTCCATTCCCAGCCTCCACACCTTACCCCAGCTACTTATTCCTTGTGGTGGGACTGGAGATGGGGCTTTGCAAAGCCACAGGATCTGCATAGACCTTAGCGGAAATGACATTGATTTTGGAGTCAAGACTGCTAGGGTTTGATTTCAGGCTGTGAGTCTTTTGGGGGGAGGGTATGAGATGTCTTGAGTGAGACTTCTCACCTGGAACTTCAGCTCTCTCAGCTGATAAGGAGAGGACTAGTCCTGTGAGTGTCTCCAGGCATTAGTGCAGGGATGAGGATGTGATGCTCTATCCTTTTGTTGGTCAGGGAGTTGCACCCTGGAGCAGAGCACACCAAGCCAGGTTTCTCCCTGAGGATATATTTAACAGTGTCTTTTTTAAGTTCCATTTTAAATTTTGCTGTATATGTGCATGCATGCACATGTACCATGCACGCACGTGGAGATCAGAGAGCAATCTGGGGGAGTTGGTTCATGGCTTCTCCCATAGGGGTTCTGGAGACTGATCTCATCATCAGGGCAAGCAGCAAGCCCTTTACCTGCTGAGCCATTTTGCCAGCCCCAGCCTGGGCACACCATTAAGAAGCCAAACCTTCTCTCCAAATGTTGCCTCCCCAGATGACACACTGATGACTTTGCCAGTTGACAGTGGGGCTTGGGGTGTAGATGATAGCAGTGAAAGTCTGCTTGGGGCTTGGGGATAGGGTACTAGGTTTTAGGAACTCCTGAGCTCTGCCATTGCTCATTCTCCTGCTTCTCTGTATTGTCTTTATCTTTGACAAATCTTACTGTGGAGCCCAGGTTAGCCTTAAACTCGGTCTTTCTGCTTAGGCCTCCCAAGGCTAGGATGGGTTAGTTCTGAGAGCCAGAATCCAATGTGCTGAGTCCAGCGTTACCTTCTGAGAGGGATAGTTCCCGAAACTGTCTTTGCTGGCTGTTCTGTAGACCTTTGGTGATGTCACCTTGGGTGTGTCAGATCCAGCACCCTATCTGCTTCCCTGCCTTCTTCTGCTACTGTGAAACCTTAGAGAGGGCTAGCCCAAGGTCATGGTGAGAGGACACCACAGGCCTCAGAGCCCGGCTTTGTGTGTGCTGGAGGAAAGGGGCAGAGTCAGGGCAGCACGGTGGATGCCAAAAGTGGCATCGAGATCCTCCCACCTGCATAAGTTTGGGCACTTGGTATTCACCTCTGAAAGCCCCGCTGTGTCACATGGACCATGGCATGGAAACAAAGCCAACAAAGGTGCGAGAGATGAGGAAACGCCACCGTACTGGAAACAGAGTGGAAAAAAAGTACCGCTAAAATTCTGTGTTTGGGTTGGGTTTCGTGGTACACTTCTGTAATTCCCATTTACTCAAAAAGCAGAGGCAGGAGGATTGAAGTGCAAGCTCAGCCAGGGTTACAAAAGAAGACTGTGTTTCAGAAAACAAAACACAGCTGAGCCTTTTAATCCCAGCACTCAGGAGGCAGAGGCCGGTGGATCTTTGAGTTTGAGGCCAGCGTGGTCTACAGAGCGAATTCTAGAAAAGCCAGGAATATACAGAGAAACCCTGTCTCGAAGAGAGAGAAGGGGGAGGCAACAGAAGGAGGGAGGGAGGGAAGGAGGGAGGAAGGGAAGAAGAGAGTATGCTCACAGGAAGAGTCTGGGTTTGAGTCAGACAGCTTGAATAGGTAGGTGAGCATCCAGTACCCTTCCACTGAATCAGCCTTGGTCATGTGCCCTGGCCAGTGGGAACAGACAGTGCCCCCTCATTTCCCCAGGAAATATTTCAAAGATCATCAGCAACCCCAGGCTCTCTTTTTCCTGTTCCTGTGATTAGAAGATGCGTGTATGAAAATAGGACCCCCATGGAGCCAAGGCCTGCCGTTATTAGAACAGACACCACTCCCAAGTTTTTCCTTGAAGGGGCCTGTACCATCCAGATTAGTCCACCAAGACTGGAGAGTGAATTAATGTGCAGCTGCAAACCCCAGCCTGGTCTCACAGTAGTACACTTGGGAATTGTTTTATTTCATTTAATAGAAAAACAACACACCAGGACAGGCACAAAGACACAACTCAGTCTCGTGGCAGTGCAGGGCACCTTCCCTGTCTTCTGTTGCTGCTACTTGCTGCTGCTCTTGGGAGGGGGCCGGTAGACCCCGACGACCACAGCGTGATCCCTCTCATAGGGCTCCAGGGTTAGCTGCTCCTGAGGCTTCAAGTTCTCCTGTTGCAGCTTCTTCACCTCGGAAGCAAACACAGCCTCCGCGGAAGCTGTGGAGTCGATGCAGTTGGCCTTGATGGAAATGAGAAAGTGGCCTCCGTTGCGCAGAAAGGTGTGGGCGTTCAGCGCCACGATGCGGGACTGGTCCGGCTGGGCCACGTCGGCAAAGATCACGTCTACCATTCCGATGAGCATGCGGTACTTGAGCGGGTGCCGGGCATCTTCCAGTACCGGGATGATGTTGGTGCGTTTCTTGGCCACGTTGACCAGATCTCGGCCGGCGCGGTGGGAAAATTCAACCGCATAGACCAGGCCGTCTGGGCCTATGATGTCGGAGACATGAGAGACAGTGGTTCCCGAAGCGGCGCCCAGATACAGTACTTTGGACTTCGGCTTGATGTGAATCTGGTCCACGCCACCCAGGATGGCAGCGGCCAGTTTGGAGCGGAAAGGATTCCAAGTGCGGTACTCCTGCTTCTCGCCATTCTCCACCACGGTGACGCGCTTCTCTCCGTACACCGAGACTCCGGGCACCATGTTCAGGGTGACCAGCGCGTCCTCCGCGCCGCGGTAAATGAACACGCCCTCGTGCCTATGTGGCTCCACCGACACGGTGATGCATTTCCTGCGGCGGTTCTTGTTCTTGGCCTGCCCGCCGCGCCGCTGTCCGCCGCCACCGCGGTCCCTGCTGTCGC